TGTGCTCTGCACAACTGTGCCAGTGCACATTACCACTCATATCTGGTCTCACAGTAGCTTGCACGCATAGTACCACTAATCCCAACAAAAATGACAGGCAGAGGCAGGCCACCCCCGCAGGGGCCATCGTGGTCGTGGTGCTGTGATTCCCTTTGGCCCTAGAATAATGCCCAGTTTTCAGAGGCCACGTACCCTGAACTTGAAAAGTTCTGAGGACATAGTTGACTGGCTAACACAGGACACCCAATCTTCTACAGCCTCAGCTCAGAACCTTGACGCACCATCCTCCTCCAGCTTAGCTTCAGGCACCTCTCAAGATACCACTCCCCCGCCTGCCGCCACCACCAAAACTAGCACCACAGCCGCTTCGGTTGGTATGTCAGAGGAGTTATTCACACATCCGTTTGAAGAAATGAGTGATGCGCAACCATTATTGCCAGAGGATGTAGATAGCAGGGATATGTCTCAGGCAGGCAGCATTACACACATGGACGTACGGTGTGATGATGATGATGTTGTACCCGCTGCTGCTTCCTTTGCTGAGTTGTCAGATACAAGTGAAGCGGTTGATGATGACGATGCGTCCATGGATGTCACGTGGGTGCCCGCTCGTCAAGAAGAAGAACAGGGCGAAAGTTCAGATGGGGAGACAGGGAGGAGGAGGAGACGAGTTGGAAGCAAGGGGAGGTCGTCGCAAGGAGCTAGTGGCACAGTCAGACAGCATGCATCGACACCCGGGGTCAGCCCGACAGCACGCCAATCAACGCATGCTGTGTCCACCACCAGAATGCCGTCATTGCAGAGCTCAGCAGTGTGGAATTTTTTTTGTGTGTCTGCCTCTGACAACAGCGATGCAATTTGCAACCTGTGCCAAAAGAAACTGAGTCGTGGGAAGTCCAACACCCACCTAGGTACAACTGCTTTGCGTAGGCACATGATCTCACATCACAGGCGCCTATGGGATCAACACATGAGTACAAGCAGCTCGCCTACTCTAAGCCGCCAGCCTCCTCCTGGTCCAGCATCTTCAGCCACGTCAACCACTGCTGTCCTCCTTGTCCCCTCTCAACCATCCGCCACTCCGCCTCCAGCCTTGAGCAGTTCACGCTCATCTTCCATAACCTCCTCGACTGAGTCCTGTTCTGCTGCTGCTGTGTATTGCTCCACATCAACGGATAGGGGGCGTAACAGTGATTAAACTGATAACAATAGTACTAAACACACCACTCACTCACTGGTGTCACAATAACTTGGATTTAAAAACAAAAAAAATTTTTCACTGTTATAGATTGAATAGCAGTTAGTTATCTTCAAGCAGGTGTGTCAGCCCTACAGCGTGTACTCTGCCAGTACGCTGCCACCTCCTCTACTCCTCCTACTCCATCCTCTTCCATAACCTCCTCGGCTGAGTCCTCTTCTGCTGCTGCGTCTTGCTCCACATCAGCGGATAGGGGACGTAACAGGGATTAAACTGATAAGAATAGTACTACTTAACACACCACTCCTATCTGGTGGCACATTAGATTGCACGCGCAGTGCCCCAAATTTGTTGTGATCTGTGAGTAAGGTAAACGATTGTCCATACAAGTAAGGTTGCAGCTTTTTGAGGGCCCAGACCACTGCCAGGCACTCCTTTTCAATGGCAGTGTATCTACTTCCCTGGGCAAAAGTTTCCGGCTTAGATAAGCCCCGGGTTGCTTGCCGCCATCTGCTTCGACCTGGCTCAGTACTGCTCCCAATCCAAACATAGAAGGCGTCTGTATGGACGAGAAAGCGTTTAGTTGGATCAGGAGCAGAAAGTACAGGTGATTTAATGAGCGCCGTCTTGAGCTGTTGAAAGGCCTGTTCACACTCTGGGGCCCATACTACTATCTTGGGGAGGTTTTTACGTGTTCCTATATGGCACCTACTGGGCTTTAGGGTCAGTCCGGCCTCCCTAATCCGGTCTAGTATGGCTCCTATGTGGGTCAGGTGTTTGGGCCAGGAGCAGCTAAAAATGGCTATATCATCCAAGTAGGTGCAGGTATACTCCTGAAACCCATCCAGTAGCCGGTCTCGAATACTCTGAAAGTTAGCCGGGGCATTCTTCATCCTGAATGGCATGACCTTAAACTGATACAGGCCAAACGAGGTGACAAATGCCGACTTGTGGATGGCGTCCTCGGCTAATGGAATTTGCCAGTATCCCTTGCACAGATCTATTGTGGTGAGGTACTGGCCTCTGGCCATTTTGTCTAGGAGCTCGTCTATCCGGGGCATAGGGTAGGCGTCTGAGGTTGTTTTATCATTTAGCCTCTGGTAGTCTACACAGAAACGGGTCGTGCCGTCCCGTTTCGGTACTAGTACTACCAGGGAGGCCCAGGGGCTGTCAGAGTGTTCTATCACCCTAACTGCATCATTTCCTCAATTTCTTTCTGAATATTTTCTTTAACTGCTTCGGGTATGCGATAGGCGGTTTGGCGAAGGGGGGTCTGGTCTAGGGTTTCAACTTTGTGAGTGGTTAACGGACTGTACCCAGGTAGGTTGGAAAACGTGGCCCCCTTGTCCTGGATTAGTCTTTGGACCTGTGTTCGCTCCTGGGGGTCTAACCGTTCTCCTAACTGTACTTCTCCCAGGTCTCCGCTCTGGCCCTCTAGGTCTAGGAGATCTGGGAGTGGCAAATGATCATAATCTTCAGTGGCAGGTGCACAGATCGCGGTTACCTCTTCCGTGCACTCGTGGTATGGCATGGAGCATGCGCTTGCCTCCCGTGCCTGTGACGCACCGATCACAAAGGTGGTATCACAAACCTGCTCTACCACCTTGTATGGGCCCTGCCAGGAAGCCTGCAGCTTGTCCTTGTGGACAGTGTCAATCCATATCTGCCAAGTGACCCTATGTAGGGGGAACAGTCTCTATTCTGCTCTGTGTCAGTGTGTATCAGGGATTCTGAGGATAGGTGTCAATCCATATCTGCCAAGTGACCCTATGTAGGGGGAACAGTCTCTATTCTGATCTGTGTCAGTGTGTATCAGGGGCTCTGAGGACAGGTGTCAATCCATATCTGCCAAGTGACCCTATGTAGGAGGAACAGTCCCTATTCTGCTCTGTGTCGGTGTGTATCAGGACCACTGATGGGAGCCTTGAGGAGGTAAGCTGATCAGAACAATACTAAACTACTACCACAAATAGGTTTCACCTCTCCTGTATGGCTCCTCAAATGATGCTTAAGATTAGAAGCGGCTGAAAAGCATTTCTCACACTCCGAACAAAAATATTTTTTTTTAACATTCTCTCACTTTGAACGAAATGACGTTTGGGAAGAGATTAACATAATTAAACACAGGCAGTAAAAATACAGTTTTTAGCCATACCCTGTAACTTTAAAACCACACATCCCATCTTCATAATTACATATTTGGAATCAGCACACTTAAAACATAAACATAACCAAAAATCAGCCAAATCCATCCAGGGGTTAAAAAGTTAGCTGGAGGTCCCTTTATGACCGACCGCAAGCACATTTTCCTGCCCAAAACAGTTCCATAGATTTGGGCTGTGAGGTCGGTCTATTTCAGGCTGAAATCCACTCAAGTCCCATCGCTGAATGGGACTTAGTCTCTGCAGCTGAAATAATTTCCCATTTACTGAACCAAGTGGGAAATAGCCAGGCAGGCACAAAGGGTTTGCACCAGGTCTGGGGACACAGGGGACACCGTCTTAAATGGGCCGTGTCCCCAACAAGTCTGGGGACACGCCTTAAAGGGGCAGTGTCCCAATCTTCCTGATGTCCCA